GCGGGGGTTTGAGCCAGGAATCTCCAGAGCTAAAAAAACATGCAGGAACTCCCTGACAAGAAGGACCTTTTTATAAAGGGTTATGCATTATTTTTATTCAAAGGAAGCTCTTCCCACATGTCTGACAGCCACGGGGGGTTGAAGCTCAAATGAACTTGTGTGATAGTTACCCTCCTGATTGATACCCTGGGGCTGAATTTTTGGTCCCACCAAACTAAAAACGTAAATTGCCACAGCTTGAACTAAGAAGCAATATTTTTAGCAGGGGACTGTAACAAATCATAACCTCTGTGGATTGGCCCAGAAGGAGCAATGTCCAAAACACACGCTCACCAGCTGATTACGCCAGTAGCCTCTATTGCAAGAGTGAACAACAAGTGAGAACAGGATTGCCTTAGAGCTCTCTCATGCTGATTTAGTTGTAAATTAGGCTGTATCTGAGCCTTATTTAAAAGAAACAATTTATGTAGCAAAACTGAATGGGCACAGAGAGCTACAAATGAAGCCTGAATCTGCCAATGCAAACAGGAGAAACAGAATTGATCAGTAACAATGGCAATCAATTTTCAAGGGAAAACATTTTTACAGGCCACCTATTCTTTTGTGACAGTTTTTCCACAAACAGAGGACTTTAATTTAGGTACCGATACCATGGGCAGAAGAAGCATTTTATGAAAAATCAAGATTCAACTTTCCTTTATCCTAGAACTTGTCCTTATATATGAACCAGTGTATCAAGGCTTTCAAGAGAGAGTTTTCAATCCAAAACTGGTATGTGTATGAAAATTGGTTTACACAAAAAAAGGAGCATCTTATGTTCATCTCCAGTAACTGTGGTTTACTGGGAAAAAGGCTGGAAAAGTTCAGCAAGGAATACTATTTCAATGCATTATCTGAAATAAAATATGATGCAAAAGCAGGCAAAAGAAGAGAAGGCTAGGTGGGAAATTTTCTTTGTAGTCACCTGCCGATCTACAGATGAGTCATTCGTAGAGGCTTTCTCAGGTTTCATCTCATCACCAGCTCTGAATCTTCTGAAACCATTTCCAGAGATTCAGTTTAGTCAGATGTGCCTCCATCATTGCCCCACCTTCCGCAGTGCTAGGTGGGAGAATACAGGGCAGAGTTTTCCTCTCCCCACTGCTTTCCTTTGTCACCTCTGCAATGTGAGGACACCGCCTGTGCCATTTGCATGCTATGAAGGCTCTTCTTCCCCTAATGCCTGGAGATATTGGGCTCGTTGGCTCTAACGCCTGGGCAGAGCTGGACAGAAAGCCATCATGGGAGCAGGGAAGCAAACGGGCAGCTCGGCGGCGGCAGCAGCTGGTGGAGCCCTCCCCAACAGAGCAAGCCTTGGTGGTGGCGTATCAGGAACAACTCTGACAGAAGTGCCCAGAAGCTCGGTGTGGCAGAGGCACATCCAAAGCAGCAGCAGCAGCGTGGAGATGGCTGTGCCAGTTTCGGCTTTTCAAACCTGTAACCTCTGCCGCGGCACAATGCAAATGCATGCATTAGGAAGCAGAGTTACTGAGCATGAACAGCGGCTGCTTTGCAAAGCAGTTATCAAATAAAACACAAACATACCCACATCTGTGGATTTTGTGGCCTAGAACATTTTTGTTAAAACTCTCCTGCTCTACAATCAAATAAGACTAGGAAAGCACAAAAAGCTCTCTTGCTACTCTAAGAGGAGTCTTTATAACTAAGCCTGCTAGCTTGCACGCCAGACTTCAGTTCTTTGACCTGTAAAAAATGAACTGCAATACCAGTATCCATGCTGGTTCTACTGGTTTCCATGGGCTAAAACATTCCTGAGGGAAAATGGGGCATTTTTCCTCATCCTCCCCTTGTGCCCTTTCCCTGAAGACAGACCCTGCCTCAGCAGCACTCTCAGTCTTGGGTACCATATGAGCAATGCTTGAACTCAGGGCCTGAACGCCAGGCAAAATATTGTGCTGCCTTCCCTCTGCTAGTGCTGCCCCCCAACAAAAGCAAGGGATTTCCACAGTGCTGCAGCCCCCCCTGCCTGAGCACTGACTCAGGTTGGACCTGATACAGCACAGGGTTGTTCTGCTGCTACACCCACAAGTTACAGCATCTGATGTGGACAATAAATGGACTAATGTTTATTTATTTATTTGGTTTGGTTTGGTTTTTCATTGGGTTTTTCAGTGTCCTGAGCTAGCATTCTAAATCAATGACAGGGAGCTCATGCATGCGGTTCGTATACAAGCAAATTCAATTACTAAAACAAAAGAGCAACACAAATCAACTCAAAATGGTAGTCTTAGAGACAAACAAAAAAAAAATGCCTTCTTCCAGTTTTATGTATGAACCCTTTTCAATCTTCTTTCCAGCACAGCATACATTTTGACAGTCATCAATAGCTGCAAAGGGGTCTGCCTGTTTTTAGGCACTCTCCCATTCTTTAAAAATGTTGCTCCGCCCAAATCATGTGAGATTTGAACTATTTCCCAGGATTATAAACCTGCCCTTTCTGAATAGAAATACACTCAATGGAAGCCTGAGGCCTTGCCAAAATGAAAAAAACCCAATCATTTCATTGAACTCGCATAAGGTAGTCTTCATCTGTGGCTCTGAGCCTCCCCCATTGTGCAGTATGCCCTCCAGTTTGTGAGCCTGTCCCAGGACATCCAACCTCTGAGTCCCAACTCTAAAGCAAGAAGCAAGCAAATGCCAAGCAGCCACTATTTCCATCAGATCCAATGATCTTCAAGAGCCACCAAAGAACAGGCTGGAAGTTAATGAAGAGGTCAGAGCCAAGGTTGCAGAGCCTTCAGGTACCGTCTTCCATGGAAAGTATGTTAAAAAAATCTGGCATGATGATCTGTCCTGCTACATCCATGGATGCCTGTACAGCATGGCACACGGTGGGCATGATCCAGAACCATGGAAACCATTTTCCTGCTTCAGGGCTATGGTGTCTGGAAGCCCTGGTAAACTTTGTTCAGAGTAGATTTGCTAGATGGATTTTTCCCTGAGCTGCTCGTCCTGAAAACAATGAGACCTCTCACCTGCTTTGAGCAATAACCTCTGCTTTGCACTTGCCAGTGTTTTTCAAATCAGAAATTTAGATTTGACATCCTACATCCACTGAATCTGCATTTTCTGTCTATGCGTTGTTTCAAAGGAAGATTTCTGATCAGCTCTACCTAATGTCCCTGCCTTGTATGCTGGCACTGCTTCTCTGAAGGCACTGAATCCAGTGACTGCAACAAAGCTCTGTTGACTTCACCAGCTGAGGCCTGGAGACAAAATGTTTTCCACAGAGAATGGGACCATACCTCATTATTTAACTTAGATCATTTGAACGGCAACTATTCACAGTTGGTATGAGTGTATGTGTTTCTACAAAGCATAGAGAGTTCCCTTTCACAGCTGGGACTACAAGGGACAAAGAAACACACTCGTTCAGCTCTGATGTGCTGAATTTGTATCCTAATTTCAATTATTATGCATGGTTGTTATTAAACCAGCAGAAATGTCAGAAAAGTCCATATTTGCTTAGGACTGTCCAGAAGTCAAAAGTGAGAATAAAAAAGGGCTGATATAAGGTATGATCAGATCTGGGACATAAAAATGACATGATCTGGGTATGAAACCCCCTCATTTTCATTTATTAAGGTTCATATCCTTCTTTTGGCAATATAGACCCGTTGATCTCAAGATAGAAGAACAGTCAGGCATGGGATGCTCTTGGGCCCATTAACAAGACTTGTACTGAATTATGTAAATCATTTAAATGGATGAAATTCACCAGATGGTTTCCACTGGGAGAACTAAACCTTGGTGCATACATCTGCACTACCTGCTTGCAGCTAAAATCTTCTCGATTGCTTTCAATTCTGATACTGGGGGTTTTTTTTCACCCACCTGCTTCTTTTTTTTCTTATTGTAACTATTTATTTTTCCAGGAAAGGGAATTCATTCTTCCTGCTAGATTAGTCCTAAGCAGTGCTGCCAACTGTGATGAGAATTTAGTTTCATAATACAGTGGACAAAAATGAGTTTATTGGTTCAAAAATTATTTCACAGATATGACTGTCAATCATTAGGTGTTGTTCTGCATTGCATTTACTATAGCAGACAGAATCATTCAGATCAAAAAATACATCCTGAAATTACTTTTATGATACTGGTATTTAGTAAACAGGTAGTAGTTTTGTCACTGTGAACTCTTCTAATTTATAGCTGATTTATAGAAAAAACAGTCTTACTCAACAGAATGGAATGAAAAAGCCTCACTAGGAGCATTTTAGCCAAAAAAAAAAAGATGTTCTATTCAAACTGACATGGCTTGCTAACATCGTATAGGGTTGAATACCTTGAATTTTTCTTCCAAAGGAAAACAAAAAAAAAGGGTATTCATTGGATGAAGTAATACTCCAGGCAAGAAAATAGGCTGGAGTGTAATCAGCACAGACCATGCCAATACTGTGCTTCAGAAATCAATCCGAAAGTTTTCCTAGGATTCATAATTTTCTGCTGGTCTTAAACAGCAGCAGATGACAATGCCACATACAGCAGTTCGGCTATGCTGGCCAATTAATTAGCATGGCAGAACTAATCCCTTATCTGTTCTCTCCCATTCTAAATGTGTCTGCTCTAAGTGAAGTGAAAAAGTATGCTCAGATCCTGGATTCCCTTATGTAGGTACTTAAACAAAATCACAATTAAATTATATTTGATTTAAACAGATAAATGCCTTTGTAGATCTGGGCCTTTATTTTCAAGCTAGCTGCATTCCCATTGTTATCTTCCTCTTACAGTTACTTGTTATACAGATCATGCGCACTTCAATTTCTGTATGCCTAAATATATTCTTCTATGTAGGTTCTCGAATACAAAAAAGCCAAAGTTTGCTCACAAAAAGGAAATGTGCTGGTGATGTTTTTGTACATGATTTTTTTGTTTATTTCCTAGAGTTATTTTTTGTAGTAAAAGAAACAAGACACTGTATGTAGATTAAAGAATCCTACCCGGTTGCCTTCGAACTTTGAGCGATCGTTGTTCGCCTTTGCTGTTTTTTCTGCAAGTTTCTTCTGCCTTTGAGGGCCTTTTCCGAAGAAAATGTAGTTGACAAAGGCGTATTCAAGTAAGGCCAAGAAGACAAATACAAAGCAGCCCATAAGATACATGTCAATGGCTTTAACATACGGAATTTTAGGCAAAGTCTCTCGCAGATGAGTGTTGATTGTTGTCATAGTCAGCACAGTTGTAATTCCTACACAAAGAAAAAAAAAGATCACATATCTTACAACTCTAAGCAGATCATGCTTCAATTTTATTTTCTTTTTTGGCAAGTTTGCCTTGCCAGTGTGAAGAAGCTTAAAAATTTGTGAAAGATCTCTCACAGGTGACATCCCTGCAAATGAAAGTAAAATTAAAGCTTCATGCATTATTATTCTGTTACAATATTTCCTTCATATGATTGGGGGAACAGTGCACGAGGGGGCCTGGCACCACTGCTGTGAGTTACCATAGCTTCATGGAAGCCTGTGTAGCTGCACTGAGGACCTCTTCTGTGAAGACCAAACTGATCTGCAACAGGAAGGCCAGCAGCCTGCCTAGCATTAAAAGGCATGCTCTTACAGCACCGTGCTGCTCAACACAAGGGAGAGAAGCTTTTAACAAGTAACAAAACTAATCGGAGGTTAGCTAAAGCCACATGCACATATTGAGGCAGAGTGTTCGTACAGGTGGTGAAAGATTCCTCTCATGCAGTTTCAAATTTCTAAGAGTCAAGCGGTTGGTTGAAGTTAGTCCTGTAGGGGCTCTCTGTAGTAGAAGGAGAGGGACAGGCACCTTTTCTAGAGCAGTTCATCCCATCTATTTTAGACACCTCTTTCAGGAAAGGACAACATAGAAGAGGGATTTGAGATGACTAGTTTAGAGCAGTAGTCTAATTTTTACATAGAAAGAAATGAGATGAGCAGCGAGAGGCAGACAGGTATGTGCATTTCTGGAAAGGAAAAGCCAAAGAGGGAGAGCAGCATTTTTATAGTGATTGACTGGACACTAATAAAGCACCCAGAAAATCTATAAGGTACGTCAGACCCTCATTTATTTATCTAAGGATGAACATAGCACCTGAAAATATATTCCAGAGCACTGTTTTGAAAAGCTGGTAAGAAAAGCAAATTTATTGTCAGTCTGCTTGAATTCACAATAAACTGCAGGGTCTGTATCTCTGCTGGAAATTTTATAGGAATCACAAATCACCAGTGGCTGAAAACACTGATTTGTGGAATAAGTCTACATTGGTAAAAGAGCCAAGCCATCCTAATAGGGCCCCTCCATTACTATTTTCCCTGATTCCATAATTATACCATCAGTTTGCAAGTAGTCACTAAAATGCAGGCAGAACGAAAATAACGAACAAAAGCAAATTGCTGCCATATTAGAAAGCCCAGCTTCTTCTACCTGAAGAGACAGAAATAAAGACAATATAACTCAAAATCAAGCCGTTAGTGTAAACAGTGTCACTCCAGGGAACTGTAGTAGTAGCCTATGAGGTTCTGTAACAGATATTTTGTATATTTAGTGGGTCAGCATCATGCGGGTTTCAGTGCTTTTCCTCTAAACTGTGAAACAAGCGTGTGTTGATGTCAGATGTTTCGCAGCTTGAAATACAGCAGAGACATACACAGCACAAGCCTATTTAAAAATTGTATTGGGTATAACTCACCACATCCACATAAAATGAGGAGTACAGCTGACACATTACTTTTACCTAAAGAAACTTTGTCAAAGTCTCTAGAAAAGAGGGGTGAGAAGGGTGGAGGACTGCAAGCAAATGCTATCATACATTTGCAGCCCAAGGGATTTCTCTAGCCCACATTAGCTTCTTTCCTTGTAGGATTACCTGCTGCTGCTTCCCATAAGGGATTCAAAGCATTACTTAAGTTCCAGTAGATTCTTGTATCAGAAATCCCACAGATTCTTTTTAACACACCCTTGGCATCTCACAATCATCCCACAGATACTTACTAAAGCCTAGGTCAACAAGGGACTTAGAAGCCTGCCCAGTGGGGCTTACAATGCCCACATTTTTGGTGCCTGTTCCCAGGCTGTAATCTGGATTCCAGAGATAAATCCTTAAACACCACATGGGGAGAGGTTGGTGGCTTTCTCAGTGATCCAGAAGATTAAGCCCACTGAATAGAAAGGTGGCTATCACTGACCAAAAGGAAATATGTCCCCTGGGAGATCCTGACACCCTGCAGGCAAATGTCCTTCTGAAGATCAATAATTTATTTTAAAGCACAGCTGGAGGAGAAGCAGCTGACACTCACCTACCATATAAAAATAAGGTAATCTTGCAATTACAGCCCTTCCCAAGAGTGAAAACTTTTGAGATTACTTTCCTCCTCAGTCAAAGGACTGAATTCAGAAACTTCTAGGGCAAACTAGCAACAACTCAGTTTCGAACAGAATTGATGGGTTTGAATATTTCTCTTGAGATCCACCCTATATCAGCCCCTGCCTGCCCTGTCTATAGCACATAGTCCGTAGAATGAGCTGGCCTTTGCTCCGTGCCTGGGTTTCTCTGTTGAGGGAACTACTTGGTTCAGTGGAGGCTGGAGCACAGATGGCGCGTGCAGCGAGGGACCAGGGACAGGAGCAAAACGTGGAAGTGAATGAACCAGAACCAGGCTCTTTCAGAACATAGGCTCCTTCAAGGGTAGAGTAAAAGCTTGTCTCCATGTCTCTAAGGACTGCACGGGAAATTCTTCCTCTAACAAATACCTAAGCCAGCAGGCCTTATCCTCCTCTGAAGTGAATTTTTCAAAGCCAGTTCCACATATCCATAGGTGCTGTATTGCCTTTAAACTTTGATACCATTTCACATCAGCTTCAGACTCGTAAGAGTGGCTATACAAAGGAACATAGGATTAGACCCATGGTACTGAACTTTATCATACAAACATCACAGACATAATCACCAAGGCACTAATTTTTTTCTCAGAAGGACGTATTAGATGGATTTTCGTCCTCTCAAAAGGACTTTCTATCAATCAGAAATAGAACATCTGGGCTCCTGAGCTTGCCTTGAATGCACTCTCTGAATTTTGTTCTAATATTTGTGTTATCACAGTACAGTACTTGATGAACTTGTGCTACACAGAAATAGGCCACATGAGACAGTCCTGTTCCTTAAACAAGCAAAAACTGTGTGAACTCATTAAGGAAGGGCGTGGAATGCCACTGGGTTTCATAACTTCTGTCTAACCATCTGTTCTCTGCAGTCCTGGCTGGCATGTAAAATCTAGATGCTGACTGATGTGTTTGAAGTGCTCCCCTCACTCCCTCATAATGTCTCCAGGGCAGATATTTGGTATCCAGTATTTCATTTATGAATATATCAGAGCTGTTTGGACCCTGTGTCTCACCTCCCATTAAGCTACTACTTAGCTGCAACCTGTTGAATATGCACTAGCTGCTGAGTGATAATGCCAGATTGTGTCATGCCCATATGCACCAGTTAATCCACAGTAACTGTAGAATTACTGTACAGTCACTGCAGTTAATCTACAAAATCTTCAGATATCCAAGTTCAGATGCTAGGTGGTAATACTATATTGTACAAAGGTCTAGGTGTAGCTGCCCAGCCTGCTTTGGTATGAGGGATCTTGGGAGGTACGTGGTACAGAGATGGGGAATCTCATGGGCATGGGTTGGAGTCACAGTTTGCTGTGGTACATATCAGAAAAATTAGGGACCTAGGGAATATGTTCCTGTTTTAAGAAAAGAGAGCATAGCAGGAAGTTATACAGCATAGGCTTAGTATCAAGTTTTGGGAAGGAAGGTTTGTGCTATTGAGAAGCACAGGGTGTGCTACTGGGAAGCACAGGGCTGAAGACAGGATTTGGGATGAAATGAGAGGCAACAGTAGTCATAAGGATTATTTATGGATCCATTCAATATTCCTGGTCTCTAGCTACCCCTGAGTATGCTTCTGTAATAGGTGAAATATTTCCTGTGAGATATTTTAAAGCCACCATCCCTTACCTAAAGGATACTTTGATCTGAAAAGGTCTTGGACTAGGATCACCAATCTGTGCCAAATCCATGTTTTTCTGCCATGAGGTAAACAATACTATAAGCTGTCATAAAAATGCACTTAGCATACCGTGCATTCTAAGGGTGAGATGGGATGTCATGGTCTGTAGCTGATGTGCCCCTGCACATCAGGGCTCTTCAGGTCTGTCCCTGCCACTGTCAGTTAAAGCACCCATGATTCAGGAGGAGGCTTGGAGCCACGCTTGTCTTCCCACACTGAGCTGGACTAAAAGCCCACACTCAAGCCCTTGGAGCATGATTCTGGAGCTGGTCCCCTCACTGAAGCTACTGACAACAACATTAACTTTGATGAGAACAAGGCTGGGACCTGTATGAGCAGCTCATGTCAGAGATTTAGTGGTAGCTACATTCTTACAACGCAGGGGAAAATTTATCACTTTTGAGGCAATAGTGAACGACATGATTTTGACATAAATTATTTTGGAATATCAAAACATTGACATCACGTTGCAGTCTTTAACAGCCTCCAAAGGCTACATTCAGTCTGACATTTTAATGTCCCACTCATTTTTATCACATACCAAGGGCAACTCTTGCTGCTGATGCATCATAATTGATCCAGAATGACACCCAAGATAAAATGGTAATCAGTATGGAGGGCATGTAGGTTTGAAGAATAAAGTATCCAATATTTCTCTTCAACCTGAAGCTCAGTGAGAGTCTTGGATAGGCACCTGAGGAAAAGGAGGGAAAACCAGCGTTATTATACTGAAGAAAAGACACTTGCAGATCGTTGTCTTCAGTTTCCGTAGAAACTAAAGCATGAACATTTTATGGGGTAGTATGACATCTGCAGAACAGTAGGGAAAAAGTCTTCACTGTATTACTGGCTGGTAGTAAAAGAAACCTTGCAGTGAATATAGTGATACCCAACCAATTTGTATTTGGGAAGAAAAGAGAGAGTAAATTATTCTAGGTTATTGAACAGATGGGTGAGCACCGGTTAGTTTTTAAAAACAGATGCTTAGGTCTCCAAGTAAAATGATTATCCAAATACACAGTTTTATGTATAGTATTTATATTGAGAGGATTAGTAATGTGCATAGTTTTGTATTTACATGGAAGAGTTGTTCATGAGATAGCACTTCGTAATTACATCTGAACATAAGAAACATGCTACCTGTGGTGCCAAAAATAAATTGTAATGAATCCTAGTAAGGAAAAACCTTCAGACCAGGTCCAAACACTTCTAACATCAATTAGAGACAGACAGAATTTTACTACCAAAACATTTTAAACGAAAAAAAGATGATTTTATGTGTGTGTGTATGTATATAGGATTCATGAATTGTTACAATTGGAGCAAATAAATAATGAAAAAAATTAATAACCTCAATGTCATTTTTTAAACAAGACATTTTATTATTTAACTTCAAACCGGTGTATTTAAAAATTGGTGTTAATCTTACTGAATATAGTCTATATATTTAGAAATCTAAAACAGTTTAAAAAAATTGTGACTTCTTTCACCAAATGCAAAGAGGATTAAATCTGAGTACAGCTGTACAAGAATAAGGTAGTCATTCACACAATATTAGCTCCATGGTTTCAGTGTTTGCATTGCTAGTCTTAGATACGGTACTTCTAATAGGTCATCTAAAAGCTCTAGGTACAGTCAACATCCTAAAAACATTTCTGAACATACCAAGGGCCCAGCTAGATATTAGATCACATCCCACCCATTCTAATGCAAGTATGTGCAAGATATGACAGATTACATCTAGAAACAAATAAAAATTTACAAACTTCCCTTTAAATTATGTTCATGTTTGCATATGAGTGTGAGAAATTACATGTGCCCATACACACAGGAATGATGGATTTCCTGAGAGAGAAAGCAAAAGAATGAATAGAAAACTGCAGGCTTCTCTTCATCACGTTCCTGGTAGCTAGGTATACTTTGAGTCATATGACAGAAAAAATGCTACACTGTTTCCAGGCAGCAGAGGGATCCAGGGAATATCAACTTTTATGCAAGTATCCTTAACTGTTTTATCAAACAATCATCTCAGAAGAACCATCACTGGAAAAAGAAGTATCTGGCAGATGGATTTGATTGCTTCAGTCAGTAGTAATTTTTTCCAGGATGAAATTCCTTCTAGTTTCACCAACAGAAGAATATTGGTAGAGTCAGAAGAATTTATTTCATCATGAAAATCAGACCAAAGTTTTCTGCTGTTTAAAGCAGTCAACATAATTTTCAGCAAAGAATCATCTAGACTTTAGCTTTCTTTACATCTCCATTTTCCAACGAACACTGTTTCATTTCAAAAGACAAATTCTCTTTGAAACCATGCCTGCTTTTTTGCTAACAAAGCTTAACTTTTTCATTGAGCTTCTTATGAAATAGTTTCCATGGCCTTGTATCTGCAGACTATGTAAATAAAACAGGACTATACCCCACCATCATGAAATACATTAAAAATGTAGCAGACCTGATCACTTTTCTGCAATAAGACAGAAATCTTTATAAAGGTCTGTTGAGGAAATTTCATATAGTACACCACCCACATAAAGGATTCTCTAGAAACCTCTTCCTTTCTAGAAGTCCTGTCCAGGTCTAGGTATCTGCAGAATATCATTCATACAGGTGATGGCTGGAAAATCTCCCATAAAATACTGATTCTTTGATAAATAGGCTGAAGGATTCATTCAAGAAGGTTCAGTGGAACTGAGTCACTGAATCAAAGCCTCAGCTTGGGCTCCTCCAGTGCCAAGGACCCTGGACGCACTGGGGAACCTCAGAGAAAGAAGAAAGAGAGCACTTTGCTACTCATAAAGCAGGGGAAATGGTCTGGATGGAGGAGGCGTGTGTCAACAGCAGAGAGAAGCAGTGTGTCACGTATGTCAGCAACGTTCAGTAATGAAATCCTGAACTGAGAAACAGTGTAACAGAGCAAACTTTAGACGTTTCTCCTGAATACTTCACCCGTGACCATCATCACCATCTCCATCTAATGAGATAAGGTAACTACTGAAACTAGTGGGAGCTGGCCTTTGAGGTGGACTCTCCAGACAGATTGTCTCAAGGCCAGATACATCAACATAAAGTTGTTTCAAGCACCAGGGTCTTTGTCCTATAGCTAGGAGATAGAACCCTAACAACCATACCTAGGTCCAGGGCTGTCAGTGCTGTCTGTCTTCCTGCTCTAGAGCTGGAGCTGGACTGGAACAGAGAGGTTCAGCTGCGAATCTGAAGGTGCACTGTTCCTTTTGAGATGCCCATCTCAGACCGCAGCATGCAGCTGGTGGATATGACATAGCCCCTACATCTTTTTGACCCGCAGCTGGAGACTAAGAAGGCTGCCCTGTGCCATCTCAAATAGCAGTTTACAAAGTGACTCTCTTGAACCGCATACACATGAGCTAGGTGTCTAAGCTCCAATTACATTTACAGGAGTCAGTTCATCTAGTCAATCTAGTAAATGAAACCTAGAGAATTATCCACCTCCTCCTCAGATAGACTCCTGTTGGTGAACTGAATTTGTCTCCAGACTCCACAGGCTGTACTGAGTAGATTCCCATCAACCAAGACACCTAGTTCATATGTAGACACTGAATTAAGGTGAATTATATTCACCTTAAATCAGAGCAAGATGACTCCCAGCTCTGTAAGTCGCGGGGTAGGTTCTGAAGGTCTGTGGCTCCTTGCCAATCTAACCAAAAGTGTTGCTGGCATCACAGCTACTTACTGGAGTTGAGACATTGCTCGGTTTCATAGAGTTACATAGAATGCCATCCTGTGGTGATTTTCCAAGCTCAAATTCTATCGGGAGGTCTGGATCGCAGGAAATTTCAGAATAATTTGGTCTTTGTATAGATCAGGTTGAAATCAAAACATGAACTGGTAGCCTTGTTTTTTCATACCATGCATCCAGAGCTCTCCTTTAGGTAGCTCTCCCTGAGACTACAAAAGCTTGTATTACTTCCACCTGTATTGTTTTTCTGCCTTTACAGATAACCTGTTGGCCCTGCCTCTAGCCTGCCATCTCTGCTATAACATCTCACCTCCAGCAAACAGACCACGGGAATCTGTGGGAAAAAAAGAATTGAAACATTCCTTATTTCCCCTACTTATTTCCCCCTCTTTGTCTGGATGGCTGAAGCTCAGTGAAAAGGATGGGTCCTAACCTGCATGGAACAAAGATTGTAAACTCAGATTTTATTTATCTAAGAAGGAACCATTTTGTGTAATATATTTAATAAAAATGGATATCTTGGTGAGCTCAACAATTACGCTGATATTTGCCTGATTATGCTTGGATAATGATTTGTCAATTAAGGCTCAGTACATTTAGAGATTAATTACCAGGAAATTCTAGTTGTTAACATTCCATCAAAATCTGGTTTTAGCCTAAAGAACAGCGTTGCTGTTCAGGGACCAGATTTGTTACCCTTCCTCCCATCTCATATAACATGTTGATAACTATCGGCTAATTTAAATAGTACAGGAATAACAGAATTTGGCCTGAAGTATTTAAATATAACAACAGTATTGAGAATGCAGGCATGAAAACAAATACTTAATCAATAACTGAGCTCAAAATATTCCTCTTCCATATGTTTGGGCACTTGGTAAAAAGTAATTACTTGTTTCTGTTTCAATTTCATTAAAAGCTAGCAAGCTGAAATATCTAGCTCCAAGGCTAAATTAGTCTCTTGCTGTTTTATCTAATAAGAACCAAGATAACAAGAGTTGGTCAGTTACAGAATTCTTATTTTAATCTGTTCTTCTGGGAAGGTTCTTCGGCTAATTGGATATGTACTTTACAGTTTGGTCTTTCAGAATGCAGCAAAAAATGAATTTTCAGATCTCTTAAGACTATAGTGTGGTCTTTCATAATGCAGCAAAAAAATAATTTTCAGATCTTTAAGACTACCCTCCTCTTACCAACAGGCTGCTAAACTGGCTTGGACTGCTATGCATCTTGAAGCTTTTAGGTGGTGTTTTAAATATCGCCATTCATGTTCATTGTCATCATTGTTATCATTATCATAGCATTTCTGGATAACAAACGTTTAGGAGGCGGATTCAGCTCACAGGTCTAAGCACTAAATTTCAGGTGTTTGCATGCACATATTTACATATGGATGGCAAATAGGCTCTCCACGTAAACCATATAGATCTAGACTTACAGCCAGCTGATTCTAAGGGTATGATTTAATTGCGTATACATAGGTGTCTAATGCCATTTGAGATGCCTTAGGCTACTGAAGAATAGAATTTAATACTAGTTAAGTAATTAATACTGAAGCACTGGATTGGCACATGGGACACAAGACTGTGAGACTCTGGAACGCCAGCCTAGCTGGTAAGCAGGATGCTCTACAGTATATCAAGAGGCACCAGGTACGTATGTTTAGGCAACTGAATAGTGTCCTAAGAGCTGTTCACTTGACAGAATAGAGGTGTTCAAGAGCTGAATAGCTCTTTAGGCTCCATTGACAGCTCTGACTTGATATCATTTGGCTATGGGCTTAACTCAGTTACTGATACATAGGCATCCAGTGCCATTTTAGATGTCTTATGGTAGCCTGTATGGCCTTCAGCTGGTGTTAGAAGGATAGTCAAACCAGACTTTTCTTCTTCACAGCAATTTAATTATTCCTTTCTCTTCTTCCCATCATGGATAAAGAGAACAGGCTATTCCCCATGTCTTTTGCAGATGCCTTCTAGACACTTGAAGACTTTATTTCCCACCAAGTGTTCTCTTTTTTTAAGCTGCACAATCATACCTGGCTCTCTGGCAATCTCATGTATTCCATTTCCTAGTCTTCCTGATTGCTGATTTTCCCTAGACCCTTTTCTATTGCTCCACAACCATCTTGAAGAGTGCTACCCACGGCCACAAATACACAGCTCAGGCCTTAGCAATGCAAGTCACACTCCTTGTAGGATGTGGGGTTTGTTTGTTTGTTTTTTCCCCAAAAGTATGTTATTGGCTCATGTTCAGTCTGAGATCAATAGTAACCCCTAGATTTCTACAGACAGAACTCTGGCCTAACCTGGTATTCCCTATCCTGAATTTGGATGGGAATAATTAGTTGCATAAACATTGTATTCTGCACCTGTCCACACTGACTTTTATCCTTTTTTTCAGACCCATTTCGCTAATTTGGCAAGAACATTTTTAACTTCAATGTTAAGCTTCAACATGCATGCAGTTCCTCCAGTATGCTTGCAGCCCCGCACAGCTTTATGTCATTATCTATGGGGTTTTTCTCATGCTTACCGTTGCTTCTCAGTAGTAACTATGGGAACAGATTTTTCCATTTGCGTAAGTTACACAAGATTATACAGCACTGTTCCTTATGAAGGATAGGAGAAATAACTACACCAAAAGCTGTTTATGGCATGACTCTGAAGTCTTCTTCTAGTTTTATACAATCAAAGCACACTAATACTGAAATCTCTAAAATGTTCACTGAGATACTGTGCTCAAAGAACTAATATCTCCCCCTGAGACTTCAATAATCTCAGAACCAAAAAAAAAAAAGCATGCCTGACTTATTTTCCACAAAAATGTAGAAACTGTCCCTAATTACTAGGACCATAAAAAAGTCGGGTTTTGAGAAGAAATTTGAAAAGAGTGTGCTGACTTTATCCATCAGATTCACTACCATGCTTCAGATTTATAATTAAATATGTGGGTTTGAGAAACAAATGTGATGTTTCCCTTGCAAGGAAATACTTGTCACAAAATTCCATAATTAATCAAGCATTTTCATAATGTCTTGTACTAAAATAATAGTAAATGCAGCGCTGTGTCTTCATCAGTGACACAAATTATGTGCTTCAGAAAATGGTACAAGAAACACAGAGTAATCTGTTCTCTGTGACTGTCTCATCCTACTCCCTAATGTCAAGCTGTCTTAAACCCTGAAGTATAAGACTTCTTTACTCCTTCCACAAGTCTTTTTGGAAAGATGATTCTGAATATTTCGTCAGTCATATAAATGTCTACTCCTAGTTTTCATTCTCTCTCATATTTGCCTCACAGACATTTGGATTTCTCTTTTTCCTGAATTTAACAAACCTCTCTCTTCTCTAAATTGCTAAATCATGTCTTTACTGAAATATTTCACACAGAACTAAAAGGTGGCTTTGGACTGTCATAAAAACTTCCCAAAGAAATTCTCTGTATTCTCACTGTTGTCCAAAGAGCCAATCCACAAAAGTATATTCAGTCTTGTGAAGGGGCAGGTAAACCCTGGCTGCCAAAGGTGACACTGGCTGCAGAACAGAGGGATATAGGATTAGAGTATGGATTTCACTTAAAAAAAAAAAAAAAAACAACCCCCCCTTCCATTCACAATGATAAACAAGAACAGCAGCAGTTGGCAAACCCCCTCATATTAATTTCAACCCAGCAATATTTACATTTTGTTCTGAAATACAACTTGCATTTCTGTGTACTTTGAAACAGATGCTGTGTCCAAAGAGTGGGTGAAGTGATGGTTACAAACACAACAGAGCTGTACTTCATTTGTTCTAGTGCACTGGGACAGGCAGAACAGCACACTCCTGTGGTCTGAAGAGTACCGAAAATCCGGAGGTCCCCAGCAGTGGCTCTACACTTGCCTGATGGCTTTCTGTGTTGCTTTTGTCTTGTCTCACCTAATAAAATTTTCCTATGCTGGTGTCTAATATTAAACATGTAAATCAACATTGTGCTTTGTCACCTGAAGACATCCATTGCTGTCAGTTACCAGTAACTTTTATTACAAGTTCAAGGAAACAAGGAGGAAACCCAGGGATTTAATTTTAGCATTTTAACAATGATGACAAAAGCCCTGGCTATGTATACAGTACTATATACCCATCACTGCAAATCAAGATATAAAAGATATTACATTCGCTGTACAAAACCAAAATAAATATGCACTGAAAAGTTGCAGGGAGGTGTTCACAAAAACGGTGGCTTTTTGACCTAGTATGCCAAAACTTACTTATGTACGATCAGTAACCCTGCAGGCTACATTTAAACTGATGATTCAGAGGTGAATAACTTCATACTTATTTAGATCATAGATATTTAGGTGTCTGGTTAAATATCACACACACACACACACAAAGAAAGATAAACAAGAAATGCTATTTCATGGACTCCTGCCTCCAGCCTTTATCAAGTAAGTAATTTCTTTAGCCAAACACACAACATAGACTAGATATAGTTATGATTAATAATGATTAATTATGATTACTAAAACAGTAGTTGTCATACACAAGGAAATTAAATAATAAATGGGCAAATGGCAATACTTGCCTGTGGCAAAGACAACATTCTTTGACACCAGTCTATATTCCACAATGGAGAACTGAGGAAGCTCAATCCTCTCCACACCAGTGACCGCATTATCCCCACCTCTCCAGTAGAACTCTATGTCATCGGTTGTGTAGCCATCTGCAGGCAAAGCAGGAGAGTAAGTAAGTCAGAAATAACAGCAGGCTCAAATGTAGCTTCAAACACAGTACATGTGTTTTGTCATTTGAGACAATGAAAAGAATCAGAACAGCTGGAATGTTGTATGGTATTTTGTTCTGTATGCCTGTGGGAAGGTCTCCCAAAGAGCTGTGCCATTACAGTTTGCACAGAAATTGGAGACAAATACTCAGATTTCTTTTTTTTTTTTTTTATGGTATCGTTCTCATAAAATTCATATAAGGATTAATGGCCGCAATGAGACAGAAAATTCTAGCCAATAATCTGCAAAATTGCAGATTAGTGTGATTTAGGACGTCAGAGGTATTGAGCACTGAAACTCTGATAAGCACCAGAAGAAGGTGGATTATTCAATGAAGACAGACACACATAACTGGGGCAGATCTTTTCCACTCACAGTAAAGACTGTGAGTCGTACCATTTCCATTAGCTTCTGTAGTAGAGAACTACAGTTGAATATAGAATATATACTACTATTTTCTGTATATGGCCGACAATCTTCAGCCAGTAGCAGAAATGAAACAGGAACTCTTGAGGTGCAAATACACATCTGAATATTGCAATCCTAGGACATGACTAGGTGGAAGAGAGAATCTGGTTCTGTTTGGAACTCAACTCCAAATCATAAATAGGGCTGGTCTGAAAGCCCAGGGAGGGTGTATGTGTGTGTCCTGTGGCAAGACCATCCATGCGTAATAAAGCATACTGGAAGAAAATGATATCACATTGTTTGCTGTCTTGAAATGAATCTGATTAAAATATGAACATTCATTCTCTTGTGTTGAAGATAAGCATCCAGCCGCTGCCTCTGCCAAGTCAGTCTGGAGCAATAAATGACTTCATTCTGTCCTAAACCCATTTTTGTAGGATGAATTCATCCATCTAGAAATGGATGAGCCCTTATTTTTTTAAAAAAAAAGTCAAATAAACAAACAAACAAAAAATCCAAAGGGTCATAATTACATGATTCACGTAGTGTTTACAGACACCAGTGTAAGTATTACACAGTTCTATAAAAGGAGAACTGCCCCACATCTGAATCAGGTTTTGCATGCATTTTCTTATATACGTACAGCTTTCTATTTCCAGAGTACAGTTTTGTTCATCTAATGGGTATCTTCTCAAGTCCATCATACAAGCTGCAGTGGTTGTGATTCTGAAAAACAAACAGCAGAGATAATTACTACACAGCCAGTAATCCAGGGTTTGTTGTTGTTGTTTACTTTTCAAAGTAAGGAGTCACTGAAGAACAGCTTACAATAACTGAGGATCTGGTCCATAGTTTTACACGGAGCAGCAGTTTAATGGAACAGTGGTTACACTGACTGCGATGGAACAACTCACTCTGGCTTACCCTTATGCAACCAGTCCCTTTGGGGTTCAGTGGGCCTATCTGCATATGCAAACATTACACAAACATTTGCTGAGATTAAAAAATATGACTTTATGTCAGAAAATGTGAAGCGAAAGAAGTCTGCTACTCATGTCAAAATGATTAGAGCTGTGTGGATAACTGATTCCTTGGTTTTGTGGCAGCTCTAGGAAAAAAATGAAATGTCCTAAGTTCAGCAAAATGCTTCATTTCAAAGTGGAGTATATTTCTCTAGTTTTCAAAAGTAAATTAAAAAGGATTTTGTAATGAAGCGCCACATTGAATTTTAAATTTTCTCCCCAAATAACAATATACTTTTGCTCCTCTATTTCCAAGGCGGGCAATTTAGCACACTAAGGATTAATTTGCAAAACATTTCACTATTGATGAATCTGTATTTTTCATCAAGCTCTTGCATATCAGGAGTGTCAAAAACACACAGGCACAACCAAGACAACTGTATTCACAGCTTCACACAGCATTGGCACTTTATTTTTAAATTAATGGATTTATATATTTGTACTAACTTTTAGACAGTTATAACCATATGGTCACAATTAATCTTTAGCATATTTCAGTGTTTTGCTGAATCAGAGCCTTCATCAAGTGTATGTATATTATTATGCATCATTTTCTTTATAATGGCTTCATATAAATTTCACATTTAAATTATCTTCTGGGCTTGACTAAGTACATTCCTTACTGATCCTTTTCAGATATAAAGAAGAGATAGACCTTGTACATAGTTAGTTCCTAAACGAATAATATTCTGGTGATAATTTATGCCAATAAGGCAAGAGGGGAAATGCCTTAAATGTACCTCTAAAAGATGGAACCCTCAATGTTAAGGTTTTGTCCGTGTGTTTTCTCCATTTTGAAGCTTTTTCTTTAATCCCTTAACCTTCTGAAATTACAGTCTTCTGATCTGGTAAACTACTTTAAGGGTCAACATTGCAAGAGGAGAAAAGTAGTTATGTGCCTTTCTCCAACTCTTTTACACTAAAAAAAAAATCCCTGTTGTTATGACGAATGCACTATCCAATCTCGCAGAAAAGGAACGAAAGAATGCTTATCCCTAGCATATAGGTTATTTCAGATGGACAACCACATAATAGCCAAAGGAAGGGATTAAAACCATTACAGCTATCTCATAGAACAACAGAGACCACCCTTCTCTGATTGAGAAGCTGCTTTTGGAAGAAAATGTTATAATTCCTTTGCAGAGAGAGAGACAGTTGTATGAGCACAAAGGCAGTGGATGAGCTAGGATAGGAAAAAAGCTCTAGGATCTGTTACTCAGCATATTTTCTTGCTTGTGTTCCTACCAGTAGCCAATGAGAAAGGCACACAGCTGATCTTTGTCCTTCCCAGCCTTATCTATGGCATGATCATGTCTCTGCCACTGCTGTTCACTCTGTGTGTCCTCTGAATACCGTTATGTTAATCCCACAGACTTTCAGGTACCAGGTATCACAGGAGGATACTTAGGTCAACCTTCCTCCAGCTGCCTGCTGGGAGATGCTCTGGTTCCTCTGTTAACACATGTCCCAGTGGGCCGGAATAGTTTACAAACAGCAGTTCCTCAGCTGCTCTGAAGTTTAGGGGGACGTCTTCTCTGCAGTCAACATTTGCAAGTGCTGGACCCTCAAGCAAGGTGCTAGACACGGGGCTATTAATTACAGAGATGAATGTCTCGTCAATAGGATGGTACTAGCAGCTCCAGCTAAGCATATAAAACTAGGACTAGCCTAGAGTCTTAGAGGAGAAAACTTAGTCTTAAATCTGTAATCATTGACAAACTTTTTAAATGACAAGGCCTTAGCATTGATCAGCTTTACAAAGCCGTGCTGACTGTGCAATCAAATGATCTGGCTCCTGAATCAATTGTTAACTGTAATTAAAGTAAAAGAAGCAGGCACACTTGGGCACTGCTGCTATGAGGTGTCTATCCCATGCTTCAGTACATTCACCTATGCTAACCTAGGGCTCATCTAAGATCCTGCAGCAGAATGCACGTGAGCTATGTTGATACAAGAGGGAGTGTGGTACCAGGTTCTTAACTATTATGTTGTATAACTAGCGTTAAATGCCAGCCTTCCGGAAAACGTGCACTTACAAATGATTAATTTGACAGAATTATTAAAAATTACACACCTGGGAAACTTGCATTCAACTTACTAATTGCCTTTTGACTTTTTAAAGAATGTATTTTTCTTTTGGCCTGTTCACATACTATACTGGTTCTGTGTCACAAGCTTCAGTATGAGAAACTGCACATTCTTGCTCAAATAACTTTTTACACTACAGCAAAATGTATATTTTCAGTTTCATAAATATCTACTAGAAAAGAAGATACAGCTAGATATAGATAGAAACAGATTTACCCCATTTACTTAAAGTAAGTTGAGTGCTCAGAGGTCCCTCCTGAATGAACGTTCAAGCAACCAAATTTAACCTGCACAAATGCTCACCAAAAGCAAATGTTAATTGCTCAGGCTTGTGCACGCTCCGAAGAAGAGCAGGTTTATTTTTTATGGGATGGGATGCTGTGTTGACACAGCAGGACAACAAGGTTTCAAGAAATCATCATCACAGCAGTGACAGACAAACAATTACGAGCCAGACAAAGATAAAGTGGTACACAGCTGTACATACATTTTGGGTGAAAGCAATACACAAAGGAAATATTTTTAACTGTTTAAATTTCCCTACTCCAGTTATCTGTCCTCCAGATATAGCTTCTCTTACCCTTCTCTGCTACCTTATTACCGGGCTGATTGGCATTGATTATATTGCTATATTGTATAGAAACCCCACCTGTGCTGGGAGGTGCTGCACAAACAATTGACAGAAGGGTATTCTCTGTCCCCCAAAAGTTTACAATATAGATCAGTCTAAGCAATATAAATACTTCTTATGTGACTAGGTCACAGTCCCGATGGCTAATTTGATCCTTGTTTCATCTTGATAGTCAAATACATTAATCAAAAAAAACCCAGAAATAAGTGTGGTTGCCTTGTCTGACTGATCACAACTAACCTTTTCACCTTGCAAACACCCATCATGTTTTACATACGGGTGATAACTACGTGAGTCCTTTCAGATAAGACAGATATATTCCTCTATTTATTTATAACATTTAGCATTGTACTGCCTGAGAACAAGAGTTCTATATATGGCAAACACACAAGCGGTCAGAAAGACTCCATTTTTGATCCCCAGTCTATAATGTCATAATTTCTTTTTTGGTGTATTATGCAAAAAAGCTGTTGTACCATCATATGTCTTGTATGTTGTTCTGAACAAGGAGGAAGAAAGTCAGTATCGTGCCCAAAGAAAAGAATTCCCCAGAAATGGGTTGACCTTCAAAAAGCTACTGTCCCATTGCCCAACTCTCATAGACCTTTGCTGCAGTAGCAAACTGCTTTCTCTGAAGTAGAGAGAAACCTTGGACAACGGAAGGTCGAGCCTTTCAAAACTATGACAAATTCTACATTGTTCAGAAGAGAACACAGAGTCAGTGTGGCCTCGGGATCACTTTTGTTATATATTTTTTTGAGGAACTGCTTTGCTCCGTGTATATTCTATAATCGGTTGCAACTCTCCAAAATTTCCCCTATTATTCTCAGTGACCCAGTGTTTTGTGGCACATAAAACTCCAGGTTCTGGCCTCAGCCCACAGGATGAATCACTGTCTCCAGACTGTGCCTTGAGGCCAATGCCATCAGGATGCTCTGAAGCCACAACACAAGAAGATAGGCTAGCAGTAGGGCAACACAAAGCTCAAGTCTTTAAATCAGTGGAGCTAAGGCTTAGAGATTTTCTTCCTTATGTCCTACATTTTGCCAAGATTTAATTTCAGACAGTTATCCTTCATTAAGTAGCTCAGCGGCTTCACCCCATGGATATCTGGCTCTGGATATTGCATGCTTTCAGAGGAAAGTGAACGGAAAGAAGTGTGCCACAGGTGAGCCACTGTTGAAATCCCTGCTAAGCAAATACTATCAAGGGAAATGCAATCTGCTTTTGGACATTTTGCAGAAGAGGAAGCTAACTTATTTAAATACACCATTCTGTGACAGATAATCCTTACCTGAATGACTCCAAATGTTTTTAGAGTATGACAGAAAAACTTCTATGCATTATTACGATCACAAGAGTTCTAATCTCCATCACTTCTTTATTACATTGCTTGTAGGAATGGTTCTTGAGATAAAGGAAGAAAAAATATCTCACCTCACTTTTTGGCATTTAACTACTTGTGGGAAGAATCCTAAACCTGCAGTGTTCGATATTGGGTCAAGAGCATGTGAGATGAAAGCCTTCTTTTGCTAAAACCAGTTAATTATAGAGACAACATTTCCTGAAAACCCTAAACTTCTTTCAAGTTTCATAATAGGCTGAGTCTGGTTTTATTTTGTCTGCAAAGATTCATCCAATTATAGTCCATACATGATACGTAATAGGATTTGAAGAAGCAAGAGGCCAAGACTCAAGTCAGGTAAAAAAAAAAAAAGTTCAACTGTTGATAAAAAAACCAAAAGCAGCTAAACTAGTCATATAATCCATCTGCACCACTCTTCAAATCTCATTCATTTTGATACTAGGGACTCTTTATCCTGCACTATGTATGTGCAGCAATCTTGAGCATTATCAATGCTTAAAAATATGAGAAACTTCCAATGATGGAAATGGAGCTTTCACCAGCAAAGACTTCTTCTGCTGGTACAATTTAAACCACTGGAGCAAATGGAGTAACCTGTCCAAAGAAAGCAACTTTTCGATACTACTGAGTCTTCCATTAAGATTCTTGCTAGTGTAATTATGTTTATTAAGGGAAAGATTTTTTAGCATTCCTAACTGTAAAAGCTATGACAGAAAACACAGTAAACACAGGTCCAGCCTAAAAGACGTAGAAAGTAAGATAATGTAAGGTCACTTTGTACCTCTGCTTTGAAATATAACACATTGCAGTGCTGATCACTGTTTGAAGAAATCACTGAAGGTACCCACAGTCGTGGTCTTGGCTGTGGCTGACTCCATTCAGCCAGGGCTGCTTGTGGCTTTTTCTTTATAGACTGCAGACACATCAAGAGACAACATAAGCACCCATGTTCAATCCTACCGCCTGTATTTTCGACAAAATTTTCAGGTTTACAATTAGTGCTTGCCTTTCTGCTTCGTATAGCCACTGGGCTTTCCAGATATGGTGAGTCTACAGAAACAGATAAAACCTGACTGAAGATGCTTCTGGCAAAATTAAGAAACATCGAGTGTGTCATTTGTTTTCTAGGGGCATCTTTCAGAGTTACAGGGAAGGTTACATAATACACTACCCAATGTTTGTAATAACCTTGTACCAGGAAGCAAATATCAACCATACATAACAGCAGTGATTAAATCGTCATCATGGAAGTACAGACCTGAGGCCGTAAAGCACCGTTCCATCCGGGTGAAGGCGAATCATTCGATTCTTCACGGTAACACCATGCACAAATGATTTCTTGTCATTTAAGAAGTAAGTGTCAGGCACCCAGAGTTGGTCTGCCACTCGGTTATCAAGTGTGAGGTTGAGAGGTATGCCAGCATAAGCCAGCCTCTTATCTCTCCAGTACTGCTGGAAATACATAGTCAAAGTGTAATCCTGGTGAGGAAAAAAAAAGAAAAGCACAACAGTCAGTCATACTTGTAGAATTTTTTTTCCCCCTTTCACTAGCTTATTTTGTTGTTGGTTTAATTTAATTTTAATTATTTTTTTAAAAGTGCTTCATAAAAACATTAAATATTCCTACCACTTATTAAATAATTCTAATATTTCAAGCACCACTCCAGTCTAAGGGAGCATTTCAAATCTTAAGAAATTCAGCTATTATTGATATGTTTTGTCCTGCTCCTCCATTTCTTTTATTTAGACCCCCAGACAGTTACCTGAAATTATGCTTGTAGAATGATAAACGAGGTAATAGGTAAATACCACCACCTTCCCCATTTTTAAAAATGATAGAAGAATGGAAAATCATTCACAGTATTTTGAAGTAGTATGCAAAATTGTATCTAAAAAATAAGCTGCAAAGATGTCTATATATGTGCCTTTCTGTGAGATTGCATCTTACAATGACATAAAGATTTTCTCATCAACAGGCTACACAGGTACTTAGAAGAACAGTGAATTGCAGTAAAATCCTACTAATGTCAATGTTTTGCTTTCCTAACTTTGTCAGTTCAGGTTTATGGTGTCTGCTAAGAGCTGTGATCACTAATATAGGAGCCTAAACATGGCTACAGAAGCCTAAAACATCCATTATAAAATTCTTTATTTAATTTCAGAATTTTCTAACTTCATTTGGTCACGTCATAATAACGCTATATTGAAAAACTTCGAAAGTCTTAGACAATAGGCCTCATTCATTAGCTTCAAGGTATTATTAAAAAAAATAAAATACGGGACCATTTTAAAGTTAGGTGACAACAAAGTTAAAAAAAAAAAAAATCACATAAACCAGCAAAATTTCCTGTTGGGAAAGAAAAACCTTTGTCTTTCATTTCCCTCATAACTTTCAAAGTGTGGAAGGACATTTTCATTTTTAGAAAGACTGATTTTATGCATGAAATAAAAAGGTGAACATCTGAAAATAATACTTTTGTATATATGGAAATGCATGTTCACAATTAAAGAAAACACTGGGTTTAGGTCTGGTAATATTTCCGTATTTAACAATGAAACAAAAATGAGGCAGTAAGTATAAGCCATTAGAACTCTGATTTTCAAATTACAGAAGTGCTTTAAACAACAAAACTCTTTATGAAACTCTTCACAAAACACTGAGAAATTTATGTGATCTCCAAACACATTTAAATATTTAGCAGCAGGTGTGCAAACCACAGGATACCTGCATTTGCATCTGGTTCTACAAGCTGGTGATGCAAAACCCCTCAGGCTTGCTGCTTGTTTGGGAAAAGGATGCTCAGGCTTTCTAAGTACTGCTGTTGGGAACAGTCCATTCTTGTAATGGGTTTCGTGTGGAGACAACCCAATTTCAGGCACTGATCCTGCCCTGCTTCCCTCAAGCCCTACAGCCTTTCCTTGAAATCAAATGAAACTTGAGCATGCCTTTCACACTCAGAGCCTTTGCATTTTTTATTCAGCGATTCATTCTCTTTAATGAAGGAGCTGCTACAGCTTTAAGAAATCAGTTTTAATTGTTTAGAAAACTAAATCATTATAGATATCAAGGACAAGCTGTTGCCATTTTAGGAAACTAATAGGAGACCTTTGAAAACAAAAGGGCTCAGCGATGGGAGACAGGAGTGCGTCTGGAACTGCCTGGAAGGAAGCTCATTCTTCAAAACTCAAATCCAACACGACTGCTCAGGAGAACACGCCTCGACCTTTTGGTCAGAAGCTTTCTTCGGTGGGCCCAATCGTCCCTGCTCACCGCTGAATGAGCTACCTGTTATACTGGGTGCACTTGCTCCCATTAGCATGTCAGGAAGACCACGTCTCTCCTCATGTTCCCTGCAACCAACTTTCTGACACTGATGCGTTAGAATGAATATCCTCTACCAGCTCTGTTTCACCTTCATTAAAGCGTGTTTCTATTAATGTTCAAAATTGCTATGTGCTTGGCTTCTGTAATGGTTTGCACATCAGTGTCAAGAAATTGGGGATTATAAAAGCTGTGGACACATGAGCAGTACAACAAAATCTCACTATGTATAAACACACAATATATATGTGCAAGATAATGCAAAACAGAAATGAAGAGATGGGGTGACACCGCACAGCATTGAAAGAAGTGAACCACCTAGCCCTGAAATGTAAAAGAAGCAGTACAATTGAGCAGAAGAGAGCTTTAGGCTAGGCTCCTGGAGTAATTAAGTAGCTGAGTAAAACATATGTAACAACACAAGCAGTGGTAGCCTGACATTTTATTTGTTTATTTAACTTAAATTTACTATGGCAGGGAACAACAGAGGAAAAAGTTTAAAACTTACACACAGAAACAGCAACATCCAGCAAACACAAAAAACTTTCAGTGTCTTCACCAAAAGACAAACTTCCAAAATACATTCTCTAAAGTACAAATTTCATTAGTGCTTTCGCAATTAACCTTCACTTCTTATTTCATTTTAACTTTAAATAAAAAAAAAACCTCTATCTATACATCTGCTAATGTATATGACTGTATCGGCATGTACCCCGAAAAGTTATTTAAAAAAAAGTACATTATTGCTTGCAAAATACCATCTCATCCCCAGTTCTTCCTGTGGTATCTACTAAGGAAAATGCTCACACAGCATCTTGCAATAGCAATACACTACCAGGTGCACTGACGTGTCTGCCTAACCCCACTCCCTGCACTTTGAACAACAGACATGGCAGAAACAGAGTGCCTAAGAAAGCCTGTGTGCTACCACACACCTTGAAGGATCACCGTACATTTGTGCTACGTCAGCCAGACCTGCTCTGAAGATGACGGGATAGAAAGAATGAATATGAACCATGCTTGTTCATCATCACACTTCTTCTGGTAAGCTCAAAGCAAAAAGCAGCAGCAAACTCAGAACTGCACTGAAACTGCCTGGTTGTGCAAGGAGTGATAAAATGAGCAGGAAAGGCCAGTTCCTTAGGGTGGCTCTACCAAAGTCATCACCAGCAGAAACTAAGCTTATCAAAACCCAGGAGGATGTCAGCTCTCAATCTTTGATTAGCTAATTTGCTAGGTTTTGTACCCATAAAAGAAGTTTTCCCCTTTTCTATACTCGAGAGGAAAACACAAAAATGGTTTTAGTGTGGACTGGAAAAAATACAGTAGGTATTTGTCAGGTGAAATGAGAAAATGGACTTCCACCCCCAGGTAAGTAGCCTACCAAGTTTATTAAGGGCCACCTTCCTCCAGGGGAGCTTACGATGACTAGCTCTGATATAGAGGTCAAGAGGGTAGATGTCTAAAGCTAGAAGAGATTAATCTCACTACAGCTACTGTGTTAGGGTGCTATTTTATGTCAAAGATGACACAGAGCTGCCAGCTTAAGAAATTCTAACTACCGCACAGAGCAGTGGACAATTTCCTCAGCAGCAAAGGCCTCCATAAATCATATTTTTTCCCCATACAATACCATGCCACATCCAAGGTCCCCCTGTCCTCTCTCTAGTTCCTCACAGTAATAGATGCTTCAGGTTGAGAATGGTAACAAAATCACTCAAAGCCCTGACAAAAAGACAAACACAGTGCTTCTGGAGTGTAGGAGAAATGCCCTCAAAACAGGAAAAGCTGGACTGCACAGGCAACATGAGCTTTCTTTTGTGTTTTCAAAGACCATGGAACATCCTACAAGGATAAATAACGGCGACGAGCATCCGTGACTTTCTAGCACTGCAACGATGCCACTAATGTAAGGAAAGGCACACAGAAAGGTGTGTGTGTGTTTTTTCAACATAGTTTTCCCTGGGGAAAAAAATGAAAGAAAAAACTCAAATTGTAGATAATACTTGGGAAGCAATTTAGATACAATGGTGGAGAGGTCTATATCACAACTTAAATAGAGCATAATACATCCATGTGTATTATCTGTGATTTCAAAACATCTTAAGCAAGAATTACAGAGACTCACAAATATTATATGGTGCTAACCACGTACAAAGAAATTTTTAAGTGTTTTCTACATGGTATTTGTCTCTTCACAGACTGAACATAATGTGTAGGAAGCACAACTATGATTTAACTACAAAGCCGCTTCAAACAGGCAGAATGTATTATAGTACACTACTGTATGGTACCTAATGCACTGACTATAGAACTAATGAACAATAAATACTAATATGCTGTAATCTTAAAAGCAAACAATAATTTGTCTTCTATTACAGGGTTTGTTATCTTTACCTTTTCTCTACTGCACTCAATAAAAAGGAAAGAACATTTTAAAAATACAGTTTGTTCATCAAAATAAAATTAACAGCCTTATAGCAGCAATAATGCTCTAAAATTTACTATCCCTGTTTACAGTCTTAGTGTGTTATTTATCAAGAATGTTAACATTTTCCATTAGCTGTAAAAATGTTGTGTTTCTTCAAAATGACTGCTAGATAGAACACTGTAATTAATAATTACGATGGAATACTGTTAATATGGCAGTTAAAAAAATACTCATGCAAAATAAATGAATATAATGAAAATTACTAGAAATACTGGAAAAAGTTATGCAAAAAAGAACTATTCCTCTGCTTGGGAGGACAGCCTCATATCTACTTGAAATGCAGATTTCTGTCTTGGATTTGCATTTGGATGTAAATTCACATCCTGGTTTTCTTGACCAACAGACAAATGAGATTATTACCATCGGCTTTTGGATTATTTAATTTTGATGAGTTAATAAAGCAAATACTCATTCAGTGGATAAACAGATGTGTTGCAAATCCATGCCTTAGTCTCCATATAACTTCAAGGTCCTTTCCCTCACCTTCTATGTCATTTCAAAAATTAGATATGGCTGCTGTAGTATAAGGGGCTATTTCTTCCCAATAAGCCCAAAGTCAGTTGCAAAGCCAAACTCATGAATCCTACACTTCAACAACATACCTGTAAATCTGTCCCCCTACTATCCACAGAAGACACCTGAGAAATAGATTCATGCATGCATTAATTCACATAGTTAAATATGTATATAATAAAGGTATATTCAGAAAGGCTAACCTTCAGAAGTCAGAATTTACCAGCAATACTAGTCAGTTGTGTGAGATGTTCATTTAAACATTTTTCGCAGCATTCAACATTTTCTAAAAGCTTCAGCAACTATCATATTAAAACAAAAGTTTTATTTAAGAAAAGATTTATTAAAGAAAAATTTACACTGCGTTTTACCTGTTGACATTTTGATCTGCGCAATGTCTAAACTGTACATTACTTATTTGTCAGTGAATGGAGAAAATCACCAGAGTCTATTCTTCTGAAAAGTCTTTTACAAGAAAACTGCCCGATTAGAACCTCTCTGGTGTTAGATGTAGCTCATGAGCAGCCTGAGTGAAGGAGATTTGTGCATGCACACAAGCACACACACATCCACCCCACACCACCAAAGCACCTTCCTCTAACGTTTCTTGGTCTACCTGCTGTTATACCCAAGACTCATGTCCCCTATAAGATCCTGATCCAGGCTTCTCTCTGGCACACTCAAAACCCTACAATAATGAGCAGTTGAAAACATGGCGCATATTTTCCCAAGCATGTAGCTAAAATACTCCTCTGCTAAGAAAATGCAATGCTAAAGCAGCTCGATTACACTCATTTCACTGTGACCCTCCATATATCCATGTTGTCTTGGTATCCTTTGTACCAAATTACCGTGATTTTTTTCCTCTTCTACTGAAACACATAAGAACGGTGTTATAAATAGATATAAGGAAATATTTAGCCTCCAAGAAACCACTTGATGCTACTAAATAAAGTTTTCCAAATAAACGTATGATTGCATGGCTCTTTCCTGCCCTCTCATACCCTTTGGCACAAGAGTTTCCATCTCCACCGCAACCACAGCACCTTCTCTGAAGAGCCTGTCCCCCACCAAGCATCTCTGGGTGCTCTGAGGAGGGTTGCCATACCAACCAGCGCTCTGCTTTCTGCAGGCAAAGGCAGCACGGTTGACATAGCAACCGGCCAAAGCAGCTTCTCCCCAGCTTTTCTGGGACAGGTGGTGGTCACTGCAACAGAAGAGAAGCTTCTCCACAGGAATGAAGGGAGCAGCCGGGCACCCACGGTGGGCACTGCCCCACGGCACCTTCCTGCCATGTCCACAGAAGCCTACTCTTCGAAAGCTGGGTATTGGCTTTTCTCTTTATGTGTTCCTCTGCCCAGAACAAACTGGCAGGGATGCCTTCCCGCCCTTGGGGCGTTCTTTCATCCGAACATCAGAGGACACCAGCTGACAAGGAGGCGAATGCTTGGGCTGAGCTTTGGTACTCGAATATGGAGAGAGACAGAAGAAAGTTCCTGCTAATATTTCAGTTCAGGGTCAAAAGTCAGGACAATAAGAAGTCAGTCTGGGCTATTTAATCCCTGACAGATAGGGGTGTGGAGGAAAATACTTAAATATTCCTTCTCTGATTCAGAGTATCATAGGTGCTACAACACCATAGGCCTCTCAGCAATCAGGAGTTCCTATTCCCACAGGACTGATGAAAGAAAAACTGACATACACCTTTACACATCAAGGGTATCATACTCTCTGATCTGGCGGCAGAAAACTAGCTAAAAGAAGTATGATCTTTCACTACAACCCTGAAGATCTGTCCAAAGATTATGTGGCAAATTGCAATCAAAATCCACTCAATGATGGACAGATACAATATAAAATTCAGCATCTGATGGAGCCCTCCTAAAAAAAGAGGAATAGAAATAGAAATATCAAATGTTTAGATACTATACTTGAAATCTCTGAAAGAGAACAAGTCAGGAAAAAAAACCACTTAATATCCTTAAAAAACTTACAAGGAAGAAAAATAATGCTAGGCTCAGTGAGGCACTGAACTTGCTTCATGAAACACCAATTTATTTACTTTAGAGCTGACAGGACCTCAAGAAAACAGGTACATTTAATTGCACTAATTGAAATCCTGCTAACAACCTACAGGGAAGAAAAAAATCAACCTTTATCAGCTGTCAGCTGGTTCCCACGACTGAGGCAGCTGACCTTAGAGAGATGGGAACTGACAACTAATGGATCGTGCCTCCTACACAGTAGCGGGATGTGCCACCAGTGAATTGGAGAAACAAGCTTGTGCCCTAAAATTTTAAAGCTATGGGATTTTTTTTTTCTAGTTACGAGATATGAACAGAGGCTAAAAATTCAGGATCTACCAGGTACGCATTTTAGAGCATGAAGGACTTCTTGTACTTTTACTTTGGCCTTTCCATAAATATATCAACTTATATCTCTTTGGTATTACTTGAATTATCAATAAATATCTGGAATGAAAAACAAAATTCAATGAAAGCCCTATAAGTCCATATCACTTGTTGTATTTGTTCAGACCTTCCTATTTCTTAGACTATTGCATGCATAATTCTTTTAGTGTCTGTAAGGTGTTCTAGGACAGCAGTGATGGAGGTAGGTAAGAGCCTCCATAGCTGGGCATACACAGATGTATTTTAAATACCGTGACCATAAATACATAGCTCCCTGTCCCTCTTATTTGCTACGATTGAACATGAAAACCACAATTTTCAATAAACCTGTATGTCAGACTGAAAAAATTACTGTCTTTTTGTCACCATAGAATTGTAAAAAGACCTTTCTAAAGGCGCTCCAGAATTCATAAGGGTTTTTTTAATCACTCCAGTGTTAAGAAATAAAACAAAGATATATTTAGGAACAGAGAGCTAAGGGAAGCATGTCCTTGAATGAAAACTGAAATACGTATCTGTTCCCATCCACACTTTCTGGTTAAAAAAAGGAATATTTACTCCACTGTGGGGAAAACTTCTTAAATTTTCTCACCTCCAAACCTATTCATTTGTGGACCCTGGGAACCGGCCAATCTCACTGGCAGTAGAGCAGCAAGGCTGATGCCCAAATTTCTACTTGCTGTCTGTGATTATCTGAACCACCAGATATTCTTACAGTAAATCCCATTCAAGCCAAAAACCATGAATAAAATGCCCTTTGAGAAAGACAGTGAGAGTGCATTGGCCATCAAATGCTCTTCAAATATAAAACTTGAAACATGATCCGTGTATTTTTCAATATTGCTGCATACGCCATTTGGGTGTCCCAGGCCTGGAGGGCACCTCCAGCCCTCGCTGGCCCTGCCGGACACTGAGGCTCCCCTGGCCCTGCCCAGGGCCCAGGACCCCATGCCAGCCCCCTGGGGCCATCAGCCCCTGCCCCTGCAATACCACAGCATGGCTGGAGTCCAGCTGCCCACAGTCCTGCCCAGCCATGGTTCCCACTGAGCTGGGCCCACCCATGGGCCCATGTCCTGGCCTCAGCCCTTCCCATCCCCATCCCCAGGGAGGTGCCTGATACCCAGGGCTGGGGCTGCCCCAGCGCCCCCGGCTGCCCTGCTCCTGCCTGGGGGTGGGATGGGGCCTGGCTGCCAGGCCCTGCCCTGAGCCCCATGGGGAGCCTCTGCCACTACCAATGCCATGACAGGATGTCTATGGCAACTGTGGCTCTTTATACATAAATGGGCAATTCATTCGGACCAGGATATGATGTGTTCATTTTTGAGTAGGGAAATAAAGTAGAAGAGATTTCTCTGCAATGGCAGTCTCGGAAAGGTGATCAGTGACCTGCCCCGCGCAGCCTATTCCCTTCCCTCCAGACACATTACTTATGCTGCCAGCTTCCCTCGCTTCGCCCTTTCACTCGATCAGTAACGCCAAACCCAACTTTACATCTTGCAGTAACAAAACTGGGATGTATGCTAAGGCAAAAGGAGAACAATGCATTTGCTAAAAACTCGTTACTACAGGTAGGATAAACTCATACATGCTACAGCTCATAAAACTTGGTAAAGGGCAAAATAAATAAATGGGTAAAAAAAGCTAAACGCTGCATCCAAGAGGAAATATTACAAGCGTGCAAGATACTCAGTGTGCCCCCCCTCCCCAACCCTCTTTCTGTACACAGACTTACGAAAGAAGTGGAAAAGAGCATGTCCCCTGACAGTGCCATTTAAAAAATCAGGCTGTGAGTGATTTTAAAGGCAAATGTCTTGCTGAGGGAGCATCTCCCCTCCTGCACGTGACCTGAACACCCTGCAAAGATCTGCTAATAGATTTTGGAATCAGGGAACCAAAATGTGTCGCTGCATAAAGAAAGATGAGGGGGTTTCAAAATGCAAAGCTGCCCAACTGCTGAAGCTGCACACAGAACTGTCTAAACAACTGACATGAAACGTTTTTAGTCACAAATCTTCAAAACTTCCAGTTTAGGTAGCTGGCTTTTTTAAAGCGGAGCTCTCTGATGACAGCGGGCACTCCCAGGGGTTTGATACTGTAGTGGGTAACATGTTGGCTACTTTCCCCTTTGTGCAAACCTCATGAGGTTCAACAAGGCCAAGTGCAAGGTCCTGCACCTGGGTCAGGGCAATCCCAAACATGGATACAGGCTGGGTGATGAGTGGATTGCCAGCAGCCCTGCAGAGGACTTGGGGGTACTGGTGGATGACAAACTGGACATGAGCCAACAATGTGTGCTCACAGCCCAGAAAGCCAACTGCATCTGGGCTGCCCCAAAAGCAGGGTGGCCAGCAGGTCGAGGGAGGTGATTCTGCCTCTCTGCTCCGCTCTGGTGAGACCCCACCTGGAGCCCTGAGCCCATCTCTGGGGTCCCGAGTGCAGTGAAGACATGGACTTACTTGAGGGGGTCCAGAGGAGGGCCATGAAGGTGATCAGGGGGCTGAAGCACCTCCCTTATGAGGACAGGCTGAGAGAGTTGGGGTTGTTCAGCCTGGAGAAGGGAAGGCTCCAGGGAGACCTTATAGAAGCCTTCCAGTGCTTAAAGGGGAGGGCCTCTATAGCAGCCTTGCAGCACGGGAAAGATGGGGAGGCACTCTTTATCAGGGAGTGTAGTGACAG